CAGATATCTTAGAGCTAAAATCACAAGTTGTCTTATATTTGAGTGTATAAATAATACGATCGCCCTGGAAACAACTCGATGTTATCCTCTAGGCCTATAGTTGATAGAGAACGTTTTTCTTATATGCCATGGGTGTTGCTGTTTGTGTCGTATAGTAGGTTTATGAATTATGTCATAAATCTAAAAGTAATACATCAGGGCGCATTGTTACAAAACTGAACGACAATCCTCCTTGCAAATACTACACGACAAAACACATTTGCGTCACATGGTAACTCTTTAGCAATTGATGAGCGTTGTGTTTTGGCATTAGTGTAAAATACATATCCCTTAATGATTGTGGCTTTTGATTTAGTTTCATACTTGCTGTGGTCAAACGTGTAACCCCATATTTTAGATTAATTCACTCTTCATGTCTCATTGATATTTTATACCTACTGCACGTCACAGTGATTCCCTTCAGGCGCTCTCGGCAGGTGTATTCAAAGTACAGACTTCTGCTTTTGTTAAAGCAAATATGTATTTTCTGATAATATTGACTGCATTATCAATAATCAACACCTAATGCAGCCTGATTTTATTCTAGAATGCTCGAATGTTTGGATCCGTGTAAATGTAATAAGCCGATAAAGGGATGCTTCTCACTGATATTTGATGTGACTATAGGCCTATCTGTTATAAACTAATATTGAACCAACTTCGTTTAAATGAAAGGCGAACAATTTGGTTTTAGATCAATGATTCAAATTCAGATGAAAACTGATGTAATGCACGATGTCTCGTGACAGGTCTTATAGTTTCTTTTCACAACTACTCGAACACACAAGCACGCACTCAAATCCGGTTCTAGTAACAAACAGCTATAGGGCTTCTTTTTTATTAGTCTCGCATTTGGCAAAGTAAATGTAGCATTGAACAAAACTAATAACGTATCAAATTGGCTTTATTAACACTTAACATTTTGGTGTAGGAATTACACCTTCTGATGACCCTTCACTCCCACTTGTTTATCAGTGATAATATCCATATTAGTCAATTGTCCGGAAATGAATTGAAAGAAGAAGCCCCAATAGCAATATTTTGATATAACATCTATGGGTACTTAAAACTGGACTTGACGTTTTACTGACAAGAGGATCTCTAATTAGACCACGCTGATCTCCTTTAAAGTGGTATGAAGTGATGTAATTATGTAAAATAAAATGCGGGGAGGCCTGCCAGTTGGTGATTTGAACAAGACATTAGGCATATTTGATATTACTGACTATTCCGAATCTGTATTTTTATTGATGTTTTGTGAAATACAAAAGCCAAAAAACAACTGTCATTTATTGAAGTGTTGCGTCTTTCTTGTCTTATGTTAAACGACTTCTTTATATCTCAAATTCCGTATCCAGCATCATGCATTCTCCATATGAGCACAAATCTTAAAGTAAAGTGAAATGTGTGAATAAGAAAGTCTTGTATAATTAACCCTCATTAGTTCTATCTTTATTATACCTTCCGTTTACTTCTATCAAAGGGGGATCTTTGTCAATAAAAATGTACCTATAAAAATGCATCTTTAAACTGATCATTTTGCCAGGACAATATACGCTAAATACCGAATAACAGCCATCCTTCAAAGAAATCAAACATAATGGAGACTGCGAGATTAATATGTGAATATTGGATGAAAACGGGGCCAAGTTTTGTCGTGAAACACAAGATATGAGTTCAAGAAATTATAAGGTTGATGAAATTTGAGAAAAGACAGGAGCAGCGCGTCACGCAAAAACCATACTCTAGCAGGGAATTTAAACCACAGTGCAAGAAGCATGGGGAATATTGGTCAAAGCCAAGAATATGGAATCACATTCTTTTTATTCTATACCATACAATACTTATTTAATACGATACGATTTGATATGATATATTTTGATGTCCCTCTTCAAGACAGTTTTTATGTAGTTATTCAAATAAAATCAATGAAATTATCACTGCCACCGTAAGTACTGGTATTAGCAAATTACCAATTGACACAAAAAGATAGCGTGAGGGAAAGTGTTAAGGAAATGGGCAGTTAAGAAATTATTAAAATGACCTCATCATCAAGTCAATGTGTGTTGGGTGTACGTAAAATCATCTCATAGTTTCCGTCTAAGCTGACGTATAATCTGTCCAGTTGAAACTCTGATTGGAATATCACCGAGACAAGGACTACTTAATCTCACCCAGGAGAATCTAAAACCAACCTGAATTTCAAGCTTCTCAATGAAATAAACGTTCTCGTGATTGATAAGACTGTGTCGTATGAATGGCAAAATGTCTACATATCGAAGTCGGAAATCTAAGCCTGCCACTCTTCAGATCATATTTCAAACCCCCGTGAAATTCCCTATATCTCATAATTGTAATTAAAATTTAGTGTTGTATATCGTAAAAAAGAAAAAAATGATAATTTTGCAGGCGGAAAAAACATATTTTGTTATCTAAACTTCTTTATATACTCAGTGTTACACTGGACATTATCCTACGGTATTATTATTATTATTATTATCATCATCATCATCATCATCATTATTATTATTATTATTATTATTATTATTATTATTACAAGACCTTACTGCTTTAATGTATTATATATTGAGAAACAACTAATATCGGAAGAAGCATAATCTCAGCCTTATCTAGGCCTACATATATGCTTAAAGGTATGGAGTATTCTTATGCAATATGAAAGCTGTGATTAGATCAAACTGGAAAAAATACATTATTCCACTTTCTTTTCCTTGTGCCGTACAAGTTGACGTCTCCTCAGCTCTAGGCAAAAATGTGCGTGACATTTCATTCTTTACAGATTTATCACAAAAGGCATGCAACTCTAACCACTAATCGTGTACTACAAGTACTCAAAGAATCTTTTCAGTTTCCATAAACTTGAGAATAAATTTGTCTGATGGTCATTGCTAAAGCCCAATGAGAATAAATTTGTCTTATGGTCATTGCTAAAGCCCGATGTATCAATGGTTTTGAAATTGTGTAAAAATTAATGTTGATGTTTTAGGTTTGTGGTAGCCAGTGTACAGAGTTGGGTCAGAGAGAATGGCGGACAAGCGAGTGCGGTGCTGAAAAAAAAAAATCCACATTTTCCATGTTGTTTTTCTTACATTCTGTAGAAATACAAAAGCTTTTATACAATAGTAAAAAATCGCCATGTTTTGCATGTCACTTTTGCATTGCTTTCTAAGACGACATTCCTGGCGCATTGAATTTCAGCCTTATAACTGTGCGATCTAATATAGCCTCTTTATGGTGCACACGGTGAGTCTACCGTCAGTATTGCCGCTTTTCAGGCTTTTTACTCAAAGGTAAACATCCGCATATGCCAGTGATTGAGATTGATCCATTTCCAAATAGCTTGTGCTTACAATTTTATCCCTCTTTATATTTTTTCTTTTCTCTTTTTGGAATTTTAGCACTTCATAAACATATCAGTTTTGAGACGTATGATTCTTAGAAACCCGTCAAATGTACATCTTTGCTTCAAAATGAAGAAAATCTATCAATTAAACGAAATTTTCAAATCTTCAAAGCAAATGGACAAATAGATAAGTAAAGCACATGTGTAGGGATTCTCGAATCTTCAAGATTAAATACACATCCTTTATTGGTGAATCAGTTAATCACATTATTGACGGCCACGCGACACGGAATACTTTTATTACACTGATTGCCTCTATGACGATGAAACTTATAGATAGCATGTCAATGAAGGTAATTTCCTTGATTAACTACTAGAACTGAATTTTTCAATTCGTGCGTGAATTCTCAGCTGAATCGTACACACCACAGGCTTGGTCCGCATTGAGATAGGCCAAACTGAAATGACTCCTAAGAATGACTAGTGTTAAACCAACCCTTTGAGAATCAGAACTATTTTCTTTATTAACTAAACGAGCATGGGTGAAAAAGGGTAACTAAAATCGTTCCGACCAACTGTCCAACTGACAAGTTTGATTTAGGCAAATTTTGTCAATACATGTAGAATTCAATGTTTTCAGAAACCAACCGAAAATACCAACCGTCTGTAACAAGTATGACTTTTAGGCACTCTATTGAAAACGTATTAACTAGCTAGATGCCTTGTTATTTGGGTAACACTGCATAATTTTGTTCATTGAAAAACATTACTGGTCTTTCATTATTTCACGTCTTGGCATGGAGATTTTGCTTGGTTAAGATGAAGGTTAGCTTAGTCATATTAAGTGAATACTCCTCCGTATATTCACCTTGTCAATATTTTAATTTAATCAAGAGTAGCGTTCCAAATGACACACGTGCATTCTATCATTTGGATCCCAGGCTGCAATATAGGGTGTGTAAGGTACATGTACATGTAGTTTACGTGTATAGGCCAATTGCGACGTCGATGCCTTTGTTGACATTGATATAGTTTTGTTTTTATGAAAAGTCTGAGAAATGCGCTTGAATTAGTTATTTCAATTTATCATCTGTCGTCTTATTACACATTTGAAGTAAAACACTTTGGAGACAATTAAGAAAAATAAAGACGAATGGTTTCCTCCCACTGTCGTGGAAACAGGTTATACAAATTGGTCAACGCTAGCTGACGTATGCAAATTAAGATGTTGCATTCACAACCTTGTTGCGAATGTGGCTAACGGTGGAAAGATAACTTAAGAATTAGGGAAAGAGATTTTTGAAGCAGCCAGCCCCCCGTTGATTACTCGATAAGATCATCTGCGACAGTTTGAAGCTCTATATACCACGTATAGAGCATGGAGGTGGATTTGTAATAATGGCTGGCGCGTTTCTATGTATTACTTTATTAATCTAGTCAGCTCAGAAAAATCCGATTTTGTGGTTATTTTGTGGTCAACATTTCCCTTCAATTGTATGTTTAAATAATCAAGAAACATACCACTGTGTTCGTATCGTCAAAAAAGCAAAGAAAATGAAAACCCTAATTAGTATCAAAATCGAAGACCTACATTATTATTTGCGAACAGGTTGATATTACTTTCATAAATGCCACCAACCACTGCTTGGCCTAACATGTGCTCTGACATGAGCGGCAAGGCAGATTCAAGAGAAAGCTATTTACATAAACAAAAGTATCCAAGCAGTAACCTAACAAAGTGATACAGAACATTTTATTCCACTGTCTTTGGAGCAAGATCAGAAATAAATAATGCATGCATCATGGTTTTGGCTGTACAGAATGTCAGTCATACGGCCTTAACTTAGAATTCAAATCTTTAACCATAGCGGATTTTGGGACCCTTGGAACCAGGATTGTCGAATGGTTGTAGTTTTATGTGAAAACAACCGCCGAAGGGCGGGCAATGTGTGTAGCGTTTTCGTACAAATCTTCCGTGCCCATTTAAGCTGCGATTAAGAAAGGCGCCCCTCAGTCTTTCGATGTTTCTCAAGCGTTCTCTCAGGATGCGCTCAATTCTTTTAGTAACATCTATGTTGTTTTGTGTCTGTTTAATCACAAAATCCATCTTCAACAAATTGTCTAAAGTACCTCTCGCTTCATTTCCCCCTTCCAAATCGGAAGAAACGACACTCAAGTCATTATTTACCAAAGCAGGGATGCTTTTCTCTGGTCTTCCTTTGAAGTTGTCATAGCTGCCTTCGCCAGCAAGTTGTGAAGCTGGCAAATATATACTGTTGGAGTCGGAATCAGCTGTGGAGTAACTAGTAACAAGATCTTGTGGTGGCAGGGCATCGTCGCCATAGTCGTAAAATGATTCCTTTGGGCTGTCATTTTCCACTGACATTCTGCTGCTAGGAATCCGAGCTTTTGGTGCCTCTAATCCCATAGTAAGTGTCACGAAGCACGCAAAAATTACCATCGTTATGGCCAAATGTTTCATATCTGCAAAAGACAAAGGGTAGAGTTAATGGATCAGTGCAAACTGTTGTAATGTTCATAAATGGCTGAAGTGATAGAATCCCATTTAAATTATGAAAAAGAATAAAGAGACCATCTGCCCCTGTGATCCAAATCACAGTCACTAGGGACTAACTTTTTCACCAGTTTTCAGTAGTAGGATTTCCTTTAGTGAAACTGCACTTACACAATACACGAATTGACAGAAAATCAGATTGTCCGTGTTATACATTAATTTGTTATGAAATTCAGTAATATTATGTTTCAAAGCAAAGCTTGATATTACCCTTGTGGTCTTAGTTTGAGTACTCGTTAAGGTTTACTTGATTGTTTGAAAGCCAGCATGGAACATGAAAATCCATGTTATCATTGTATGTAGTCATAAAGATGCAAAGACCAAGCATGAACATGAGGTCTCCGAACGACATACGACAATTTTCTTCAGAGGCAATATACGCTAATTCTAACGCATTTTAAATTGATAAAAAAATCTTTAATTTTGTCCGAAAAGCATCGCGGCTAACTCGGTTGAAGGTATGAGCATAAATATACTAACATTTAGTCAAACTTTTAAAACGGGACCGTTCGCTTTGATTTGTCCCTCAATTCATTTCCATGTCATCACTATTTCATTTCATTGTCATTTCATCTAGAGATAATATAACAAAGAGAAACAATCATTTAGATTAGTCTCCTGTTTACCACCAAACATATTTCCAGATGATATCTTTATGTAAAACGCTCAATCACTGCCTAAATATATTCAAAGAGACCAAGACCTTCATCGAATGCCCTTTTTTCGTTTCAGATGTTCAGATGGAATACAATATATTACTTTGCCTTGAACGGCTGATATAGATGAAGCGTTTATTTTCTGCGTAACTCAGACTGTAAACCCAAATCATTCCCTTACTGATGAATGTTTAATGATAAATGGCAGTTCAAAATCACACTTAGGTGTCTGATATCACTCATTGACAAGCGTACGTGATACACTGTAGTATCAGCAAAATCTGAAACATTTCCAAGTATATTTTAGTTCTGGTATTTAAAATGTTTGTCGAAACTGTCATTATAACAAGTAGAGATATTTGACTTCGAATTCGTACCTTTTTTTATTCTTCAGAAATAAAGGGGATAAAAAGGCATAAAGGGATGATCGTGATTAAGTGGACAACCCTTGAACTATAACGAGTTCCTATAATTATAAGAAAACTTCTAATGGATTATCATAATGATGTATGAATGAGCTCGACCAAGTAAGGGTCGTTAAACTGACACTCATTAAGCTACAGTGCAGGGGTTGAGCAGAAAAAAATGATTTGATTATGCAATAGCGTTGGTAGCCTTGACCTTTGCAGCGGCAGCTTGTTTGTGAAGAGGTCATTTTTTCTATTCTCGCTCTCACAGCAAATCGGCTTTGAGCGCATTCAGAACAGCAGACTAACAGATACTTGAATGCTTGTTGCGCAATCCCCGCGGGAAATCTATATTCAGTGTTTCATGGGGAATTAGGCGACAAGCTTTTAGTGGGTCGCCATATTTGATCCGCGAATCTGTTAGTCCGCTGTTCTGAATTGGGCCATTCAGAATAGAAGCTCCGAGTATCAACTGGTCCGAGGTTCCATTATGGCGGACTCGACATGAAAGGAAGGCCGCTTAATCCTGTAGTGGCCTCTCCGCCCCTCACACGCCTCCCCACGCGTCTGGTCGAATGGAGCCGAAATTTATTAACTGTGGCCCTGCAAAGACGACGCGTGGGGAGGCGTGTGAGAGGCGGAGAGACCATCACAGGATTAAGGTGTCTTCCTTTCATGTATGGTCCGCCATATTTGAGACTTGGGCCAGCTGATATTCAGATCTTCTAATCCGAATGGCCCAAATAAGCCCATAAAATAATAATAAAAATAACAGAATAAAGAATCCGAGGATCTTCTGATCCACGGATCAAATATGGCGGACCTTACGGATCAATTTTGTAGCAGTTAGAAGGGCGTCTGGTAGATAATAATGTTAGTCAGATGCATATCGTGTGGGCATGCTTATTTTTTATTGTTTCCTTACCCTTTCACGCTAGTCACGTAGACATAATGTCACTGGAAACATGGCACACGGCAGATAAGACTATCTAGGGGCACTTATACGCGACACTTAAAATGAATCGGGAGTCCATAAATGAAATGAACCTGATGCTTTGTTAGATATATATGAAATGCTTTTTTCCAAACCTGTGTGTTACGTCTATCCTTTGTATGCCTGACATGCAAAAACTTGTTTTATCTATGTATTATCCATCCACTCAGCATTTATGTGAATTCAATTAATATCATGTTTTGTGTAGACATTGCTTTCTGACAACAGGAGTGACAGCAATAACACAAGTTGAACTGAAAATAGTCCTTACCACAATACGTGTATTTTGTTAACAATAATATTTATTATACATTGAGATATAAAATACGTTTGTAACATTTGGTGTTGATTGAATGAATTTAATGTACAGGCACTTTGCAAGGGAAGGCTCTGTTAAAGGTAAACGTATTTTAAATGGTATTGTCGAAAACGTTCTTCCTCTCAAAGATGTTTTTGCAGAAACATATACAAGTGCTCTAACGTAAAATGATGTTATACCAGTAAACGTAAAATGATGTTATACCATTCGTGTGTAACTTGCAACCAGATTGCTGTGATGATTCCATTATATTTTCACACTTTCAATTATCAGTTCATTTAAATCTTAGTTATAGTATATGATGACATTTTTTTTTAAATTTAACGCGTTATCGATCATAAAAAGATGGGCTTTAAAATACATTTCATGAACTGGACGCGCTAAGCTTGCATCCGTTTTTCACCCAATAATTCTATATTTCATCATATCTTTAAATTGTGTAAATGAAAATAAACAACATTCATGTTGTATCTTGACTAAAAGTTGATGTTTTCTTTTCTTAAAGTATTATTTATTTTTAATGCCACTAAAAAGTCTTCTCAGTACGTCCTACGCACGTAACCATTAAGTCGTGCCAGTTTCGCAGTTTTTAAAAGTTAAAATTATGAGACAAAAGTACGTCCGCTTGTGCCTCTCTTAACTGTGTAATCTTAAAAAACAAATAAAACAAATGAGCGACCAATAAACAATTAATTAATTAAGTGGTAGCTAGCATTTTATCAATTACACCTGTGGTTTCTAAAAACAAGTGAACATAAGCCTACCTTTTGTTAATTCCCGTAACTAGGTAACAGGATACTGTCTCGGTTACTCTGGTAAATTGCCCTCAGAAATTAATGTTTGAACCTAACTACTTCTTTCCTCGTTTAATTTTTCTTGGAATATTCTATCTATGCAACTCGAGTTTCCAACTGTTTTCTCTACAGGCGCCTTGTTTCGATGTAGATATAACGCCAATCCAAAGGGACTTTATATCTGAAACCAACGACGTCACTGTCATGGCTAATCAGATTTGATGACACAATAAACTAGGATCCGTGTAGGTTTTCTAGGAGTCTCTTTTTTCCGTGGGTGATTTTTTCTATCCTGACCAAGGTTCAATAATTAATTCCATTGGGGCGTGACGTAATAACTACCCAATGCGTTTAAAGTGAAGTTTGGCGTTCCGCGGTGACATGCGTTCATTTTTGATCAAAAGTTATAAAGGCATTTATATATTTTTATAGAAATAACGAGGCATAAAAAATTGAAATGTTTTTGATAGATCATATCAAGGATGGAAATAATGCCTAGACAAAGTTGCTTCTGCAAATGTCCTTTGGTTTCCCCATCCCTATTCTCATTCCAAACTATCATAAACAGTACATTTTTAATTGTTTCGTGATCGGACATTGTGGTTGAAAAGGTGGTTTACTATTTTGAATTTATAAGAATAATTTGTCAGAAATCTTTGCCTCCTTCGTGTCTGTGAAGTAATTAGGTGGTATCTTATTTCACATTACAATACGTTTCAATTTTTGTTAAATGTTGTGTTTATATGAACTATGAGAAACTACGCGTACTTTTCGCTAGTCAGTTTTGAGGGTTCAGTGCCACTGACAACTTTTTAAAACAGCTCTGTACTACTTATATTAAGGCGACTGGAAGTAAGAGTGTTCTTATGGTCATTGACATAAAATTACATAAAATGAAGGATTATGGGTTTTCGTAAATACTCGCACTGTGTATATAATCGCTGCCCTAACATATCAATATGATGAGAGACTAAAAAGGAACCATCATTCTTTATTTGTCTGAAACCAATTCACTAGGTAAATATTGATAATTAACTTAATGAAGAGGTTGGCGGGAGGTCTTGCCCTTTCTTTGTGGAAATTGACATTTGTCAGTTTGTATGACAATTTCATCACCATAAGTTAATCTGATAAAGCCATGTAAACACCGAAGATAATGTCAGCCAATTTCTGAATTTTGCTTTTACATTATAACTTTTGACGAATTTGTTTATAAAACCTGTTGCTCTCTTATTTTATTTTTGTAACAATATTTCATTTCTCTGAAACCATTCCAAGCATATTTAACACTTTCGCGATCAGCTGTTTAATCGATGAAATTTACTTTATCTACTATTTCATTACGAGACGGTTAGGGGTGAAAAATCTATTTGTTTCATGTTTGAAATAACCGATTCATATAGTGTCTTTCCGATCTATCTCAATATACATGTATGAATACGTTGGCTGCTGTTTAATCGATTTAGCCCAAATTGATAATGAATAGAGACCAAAGCACACAAAACATACAACGAAATGTACATTCATCATTCTAAGGATCTCATGTCTACAAGTTAATCATGCATAATCATCAAAA